TAACTAATAGTATGACTGAACTTTGATCATCAGTTTGAAGCATGACTTGTTCCCGTTGTGAAAGCAACAAGTGCTAGATGATAGCTTATATCCGGAAAAGTTTGAGCACTCATCATCTCAAATATGTTTTTTATTATATTCCACTACTGCAGCTTCATTTAGATGATTGCTATTGCTGTTGCTTAGAAGGTGCTATTTGCAATGCGCTCTCCGCAATACACCGACTAGCTATTATTATCCATCATCTAATCCGCCAGGCGGCCAGCCCTCTGCTTCCAGCACCAGTTACATTCCAAGGCCACACAGTGCGCTGCAACTCGCCTCGTCCCTTACACTTTCCCGTTTTCATGCATTTTTTGCATATCTGATATAGCGCAAAAACGCACCAAGACGATATCTTTCCTATCTTTAAATGCCTGGCCAACTGCATATTTCAACCGTGGAAATATTTCAACTATGGAACTGCAAAAGCTAGGGAACCGAAATTTCGAGAACAGAGCCTCGAGTTGTATCCAGTTGCCTATGATGTCAGAAACCCAATACAAACTTTTGTCCCCTCTCCCAAATCCAGATAAAAATTACAAACACTAGAAGGAAATACGTAAATTTCTATCACGGGGAACAATTTCGTGAACCAGACAAAATTGCGGGGCTCTTCTCCGTGCATCTATGATCTAAAGACCAGAGGTATTTGTGCATGTGTGAGCCGTTGTTCAGCGACGCTAAAGATATAAACAAGTAGCACTACTTTTGTATGGCGCAGGTCATTAAACAATTTCGGTCGGAAGTTTCAAATGTTTCTGGACAGTTTAAAAGACTCGTGTGCTGAATTCAGGCGAAAACGAGTGGTAATTTGTTGGTGGCACGTGAACTCGGATAGGATTCGGTTTAATGACAGAAAAAGCAGAAGATGAAGAAGAGGAGGAGGAGAGTTGTTATCAGCCAACATCTGCATCGACCAGCTGCACCTCATCAGGGCTAGCAGTCACTGCCGAGGATCTAGCAGATCGAGTAGCTAATGTATCGCTAGGCGGTAGCGATGTGCCGAAGCAGGAAACTGCAGATCGGAAAGCATGGCTTTCAAAACGACAGCGAATTGCCATCGAAAACAGTTGGAAGCGAGCTACTAAAGTTTTTATTTCTTTTTTTAATAAATCTTGCAAAATTCTGAAAGGCTTCTTCGTGCTTCAGCTCTAGAATTAGGTTTGTGGCGCAGAAGAATGAAGTACCATTTTGCAGTGAGTTACCAAAAAGTAGTCATAAGTCAGGACACCGCGCAAATTTTGGCGCTTAGTGGCACCTCAATCACTTGTAACATCTTGTCATTGGATTAAGCGTTTTGCCCCCTTTCATGTGCAGTATTTTTCGCCATTCGCCAAGCGAAACTATTTGGATGCCTCTCATTCAACAAGAACTAGCATCATACACAGTCAGCACTAAGGCAGAAACGGACATTAAACTTTAACACCCGGCAGCATCCCTCAAAATCAGGATGTGACAATAGGAGCGACCAGCAACGCACCAATGATCTGGTCCCCTCAGAAAAGATAAAATTTCAGAGCGATGCGGATAAGTACGTTGGTATCCAAATATTCTTTCGAATATTAGCAGCTCGACCAGAAATTAAGCATATTTTTGGGCTGCAGAAAATTCCGGATGGCCGTTTGAAATATGATCTTCGCTTTCGACGTCATGCCGTTATCCTTACAAAAACATTCGATTACATTGTTAAAAATCTCGCCTATAAAGAGAAACTTCAGCAGCACTTTCAGGTTGATGCTGTGTTGCATGTCCTACACTTCATACCTCATTAGTGACGTTTCACCTCCTCTCAAATTATGCCGAGCTAGCAGAATCTTCCAGCGAATGCTTATGCGTACAAGCTGGAGGCACTGTGGCCATAAAAATCATCGAGACGAATTGCTTGGCATTTCGACCACAGATCTCAGACGAGAGTCTATCTGGGGCAGATCACAGACGGAAGTCTAGACCCCAGTCTAGACTTCCGTCTTTGATTTACCATTTTCACTAGAAAGATGAATTTCATAGTGTGAGATGTGTGGGTAATCACACTTGAAGAGAACGGAAATTTGACACGCACATTTCACAAATATCTTGCTGTTTTCCACACTTATCTATTAGAATCGCTGATGGATGGTGTATCCTTCA